TTTTCATGCGTGTAAACTTTTGTAAACCCTACATTTATGATCGCACACGTATTCAATATTGGCCGGCCATTCAAGACGACACAGCTCATGGAATATGCACAATGGACAAAGCTCGGAGAGTATGCGTGTGTGTGCATGGGCTCGTTCAAGTGCGCGTGGGTGTCCGCGTGAGTGTTTGTGTGCGTCTGCCTCCCCTCTCCACGAACACCTGTAAGCTGAGCGTTTGCGCTGGGTGAATATGGCCCATTGTTCTGGCTGGCAGAGTGGTGCTCATAAAGACCGCTCTGTGCCAGCCCTCCCCGCGCACCACTCTACCCCTCCAGCTCCTTATTGCTCCCGCACCGACTCTTCCTCCAAACAAATTTGCCGTAACTCTACCTGCAATTTGGCCTTGAATTGGGAGCAAATAGAGCAGGTATTGTATGTCGTGGGGAATAAGAGTGGCGTGTGTGTGTAGAGGGTAAGGAGAGGGAGATGTATTGGAAGGGGAGAGGTAAGGAAATGATACCCGGCTCTTTTATGTGGGGTAAAGTAGGACTCTTATCAGTGGGAGCACCCAGACAAGAGAGCTACTACTACAGGAAACTGGAGCAGCCTTCACCTGCTTTGCATTTAGATAAAAAAAAAAGGACAGGAAAAGAGAAACAAATGCTCCGGTGTGTGTCTTCACGATTACAACCCACTGTGTTCTACAAGGTGGCACCTTTCTGCTCCGTGTCACCTGTCAGCTGACGGGTCTGAGAATGGGTTTCTATTTTATGTGACCTTCTTTTTAATATATATATATATATATTAAATTCAACTTAATCTTGTAATATAGCACCAGTTATTTCAAATAAAATACAGTGGAAGTCTATGAGCCCCATATTGCCCCATAGATTTTTGGATTTCTGTCAATGTTTTTTCCCCCTGAAATTATTTCAATTTATTTTCTGTTGAAAATGTATATAAATGATTATAATTTATGCTGTTGTTAGAAGTAAATGCAGTTCCATAGATTCTGTTGATAGACCTAAAGTTCTATGTATCTGAAAATTATAAAAAGCTAACATGAACTGTAAACAAAAATAATGTTTTAATCACCGGTCCATAGTGAAGACTTTATGATTTAGCATTTATTATAAGATTGTTCTTTTTCAAGATGTTTGTAATTTAGATTTAGATGAAATCATACTGGGTCTAAAAGAACAACGAACGAAAGTGTTTCATAATATGCCAGAAGATGGCAGTGCGGCATCACTCAATCCAAACATCCCCACCTAACGAAACCAAGCCAAAAAGAGGATGAGTTATTGACGTCCATAATCAGCCTCTCATTTGGCATATTTCTACCCACCATTGGCACTATTTAAAATAATCAACACAATGTGATGACTTAATTTCTGAAGTCCAAGTACAGGGGCTGTTGTAGGCTGTGTTGGTAACACACTTTTAATGTGCTAATTCTCAAATGCCTGCTCTGAAGTGCTCAAGCCTGCACTCCACAACACAAAGTGCCAAAATGATATTGAAATTGGCTGCCAAAACGTGTCCGTCCTCCATTCCAAAAATCCAGCGAGATGCTGAAACACTTGGCCGATTCAGATTGTTCTCCCAGTTAGAGCAACGGCTTTTGTTAAGGGACTTAATCTCAAGTGCTTTCGCTTGCATAAAATCAAACAGATATTTAAAATGAAATCAAATTTACATGCTACTTGATGTTAGAGATGGATGTCGCATGCATGAAAATGCTGAAATATCACTTAGTTGTTTGATATTACACTTAGTGAAATTCATTAGGGAAGTGCAAGAAAACACACATTGTGTAGGCATTCTTTTATCATGCTCCATATTCAATGGTTTTCTGTTAATTTTATACATGAAAAGTATTTTTTCATTTATTCTAAAATCCTCATTTTAAGGGGGCGTGGGTAATTAATGCAGTAGATGTTCTGTAAACATTTTCTTCACTTGAATGAAAAAAGAAAGAAATCTTCTTGGTCTCCCGTATCGACTGTGATGTCCTTGTTTTTTTTTGTTTTTTTTTGAAGATTCCTTGCTGTCGTGTGTTATATTACACCGAACCAAAGCAAAATTCTAATAGATATTGATGGTAACAGCAATAGTGATTTGTGGATTTCTTTTGGTGCTTTTTGTAGATTAATGGACTGACAGGAAATCGCATTTCAGATGCAGTTTAATGAATAGATGTCATGGTCTGTATTAGGTTACTGTTGGTCCTGAGGCTCGCTGAATCATTGTAAGATGGGATCCGTGCAGGTGTAGAGGTTACAGTACGTGCCCTGAACAGAACACTGCAGCACTGAAGTACAGGAACTCAGACGGGGGAAACGGGAAATCGAACGCCGTGGCTCCGGAATGGTCGCCGAAGTCGCTGAGCTGATCGTGAATACCTGGATGCGCTCTCACAAAGCCTCTTGTTGCGTGTTCGCAGATTCGGTTTCTCCCTTTCCTCTCTTTCACCCGGACCTTTCTCTTTCCCTTCGGTCTGCTTTTGGGGTCCGTGGCCCTTCCCTTCCTGGGAAGGGCTCTCAGTGGGGGGGACTGGGGGTGGTATGAGTGTCTGGGCTGGAAGAATGGCCTCAGTACTCTGGGCATCTCTCTCTTGGCCGCTGGGCTGTGTGAAAGAGAGAAGGGTCACTTCTATGCAGACGAGGTGTCGGCTAACATCATCTGTCAATCAGACTCTGGCCCTCAGCTAGAATAACCAAACTTAAGAGATGGTTTCCAGCGACAGGTTAAGGAACCACCAGGCATATGAAAACAAGATGGACGCTGCGGAGTAGAGACAAAGAATTAGGTTTTCTTTGTAACCGATAGATTTATAAACCGACTCCCTTAGTTTGGTTTTAAACTCCAATAAGTGTTTTTTTCTAATTGGCAATTTTATTGAGTCAGAGGCCAAAGAAATATGAAAAAGAAAAAAATTGTCAAAGTATGTTGAAGGCTGGTCTTGTATATTTGACATGTTTTTAGCAGTAAATTAAGTCATGATTTTATGAATGCACAGATGGAAGATATTAATTCGATGTGAGGGAATTCTAATTACTTTGTCTGAAAAATATATTTTGCCCTAATTAATGGAACACTACAGATGTTTTGCTGCATTTTGCAAGAAATGAGTATGCTCTATAGGAGCAGGTACTAAAATACCAAATGTTAAAAAAAAATAACATAATTTACATTTTTAATTGTATTGATCCATTGCTTTCTGCTTTGTTTAAATGCAGCATTTGTATTCATTTCTTCAACAAGTATTTGAGGTGTTAATGTGCTGTTAGTAAGACGAGGAACATTTAGAAAGTGGTCATTTTAAAGATAGCATTTAAACCACTGTTGATATTGCATATATTATGTGTTTAGGTTTGTGTGTTTTTTTCCTCATTGAAATGTTCAGTGTGTGCGCATTGGGTAACGGTGCTGTAATGGAGAGCGTGGAGGCCACGGAAATACATCTGACCTGTTTCTGCAAGATTCAGAGAATTTCCGCTGCGCTGCGCTGCGTGTGTGTGTATGTGTTTCAGGTTCACCCTACGTTATGGGGACCCAATTTCCCCACAAATATGACAATATCCAAAATCCCAGCTTATAAATCATACTATGTGATGTTTGCTGAAAATGTAAAAATGCAGAAAGTTTTCTGTGATGGGTAGATTTTATTGTAGGTTTAGGAGGTATAATATACCGTTTGCATGGTATAAAAATCATTATGTCCGTGGAAGGTTCCTAGAATATATTCAATTTGTGTGTGTGTGTGCATAATTTAATGTTATGTAAACTTATTGAATGTAACAAGGTCTTAGTGGTGTCCCTTTATGTAGGTATAAGAGTCTGTGGAGGTTTGTTTTGAGTGCATTTCATGTACAAGGATACTTATTTGTTTTAGAGATGCAAAAACAACCTTTGTATCTATTCACCCAGTTGGAGGATGCATTTTCGAAAACTCCTAAAAACTTAATACCGTCACTCAATTTCAAGTTCAATCTTTTTGTATTGAGCTGAGTTGACAGGTCATAAGCCTTCTCAACCAGGCAGATTCATTTATATTATCTGTGGATGATATTGTGATTGCCTGCTGTGATCTTTGCTTTGCTGTAAATATTTCTCGAAGTGTGGAGATTTTTTTTTTTTTTTTTTTGGTTTTAGTGTTTCTTTTCTGTGATGAGTTGCAAGTAGTTTGGATTAAGGGCTTTACTGGAAAACATGTTTGGGTCTGTGTGTTATTTTATTTTTACAGCTCTTTAAAAAAATTATTAGGCTAATTCATACAGTATGTGTAGATTGCAGTATATAAAGTTGGTGTTAGTAGCTTATAGTTCATCGTAATTACTTTTAAAGTTTTGTTTTTTTATAAGTTGCTAATATTAAAAGAACAATACCCCAGAAAAGAATAAAACCCAGAAAAAAAAAACTAAAATATGAAATTGATTTAGTCTTTTTATGGTCAGGTTCCACGGTTCCATCTCCTTCTGCGGAGTATGTGAAGATTTGGTTGAAGCCGTGGGGTGATGGGCAGTAGAGTCACATTTACTTCAGTAAGACCAGTATTATGCTGTATGTTTTGAGGCTTTAATTTGTTTTATTATAAAGGAGAACGAGACACTGTTGCAGACGACTGACTCATTCATTGTTTTCACACTGAAATACTTTCTGTGCATCATCTGTGCTCACACTTGACAGACTGTGAAAAATAATCATTGTGTTACAGTTATGTATTACTGGTTGTCAGGTGTTCTGAAGGTATATGATACAAAATACATTTAGAAAATTATAAATTAAATTGAGAGACAGTTTTCAAAAAAAAAAAAAAAAAATATATATATATATATATATATATATATATAAGGTACACTAAATCACAAATGTGGTTTTTTTTGTTCTTTACATATGTTTTTGAAAAACTAGTTTCGAATCCTGTCAAATGAATGACTGTTGATATGTTTTATAAATGCATCTTCAAAATGATGTTCTTTCCTTTTGTCTGTTCCCTCTTTCTGTAGCTTTTCTTTGTGGTGGTGTGGAATTTTGAGCTCTATATGGTCCCGCTGGTTCTCTTGATGCTGCTGACCTGGAACTACGTTCTCATTGCTTCAGGGAAGGACACGAGACAGGGAGATGTGGTGAGTTCTGTCGCACTTTGACCTGCAGCTCTAGTACATTTAAATGCAACCTCTCCACTTTCTGTATTTAGGATTTTTGAGGATTAAAAAAAAAGCTATTTGAATTCCTATCCAGCTCTCACAAAAAAACTTTTGAAAGTCATTGTTTTTCTAAATACGGAACAAGTGGGAACTCGAGCATTTCTGCGTCGCACTCCAAGCTGTTTATTTAATTTAAATATTTTAATTAAAAAGTGTCACCACAGTGTCATTCTGAAGATTTTTTCTATCATGTAAACACGTATGTTTAGAAAGTGTCAAAATGCTCAGCAGCACTTCCATAACAGCACTGCTTTGATTTTATTGTCTTTATAAACTGCCGTTTGACTGAATGCGTGGGCTTAAAGCATCAATGGAATAGAGGTATAAAGAGAGCTCACCTTGAAGTTAATTGAATGGAATCGATTTTATACCAGTGTAGATTTTTGAAAGTCGTTTAGTTTGAGGACGTGATACGGTAATTGAACAAAAGCTTTGGACTTGAATAAAATGGTCACCACCCAAGGTAGATAGTAAATTAATTGTAGATCACTATTTCAGGGTGTACATACGTTTTTACCAGGAATAGTCCCATTATATATATCTGAAATATCTAGGATATTGAGTAAATGGGACAAGCATGTGAACTAAATTTTTTTCTGAGTGTCCTGAATATAAGCAATCAAAGTTTTACTGTTTTAGGGTCTCTGTTATTTTTTTATTTATATAATCTCATACCTATGAGACACTTTTTGTCAACTTTTGCAAAGAACAGAGACCGTAAAAAAGTAGCAAGAACCAAAGGACCTTTAGAAAGTGTCTGTACACGAATTATGGTGTCCTATAGATGGCGACATTGTTTGCAAAATCTCACCAGAGCTCTGTTATACATTTTTTTTTTTATCGTGTCAATACTGATACACTTTTTTTCACACCTGTTTTTACACAGAAATCAATAAATTATAAAGCAATAAAACCAAAAATACATATTTTGTAATGCATATATTATATAACATGGAAAGGTCTTATTGGGGAAAGTCGTATTTTCTATTTCTTATTTTTTATTTATTATACTGTAATGTTATGGGGTTGCATGTCATGAGATAATGGAAAGCAAGCAAAACTGGGTTATCTTAAAAGAAATACAATTATACATACTATTTATATATACTATTTTATATATTTTATTGTGTATTTCAATAATATAATGTAGGCTACTTTTTATATATAATGAGCTTGAGCTTGTATGATGGTCCAGTGTGGTGGTTTTTCTTTTCTTTTTTCTTCCACTGCTTTGAGCCAGTTGGGCCAGAAGTTAGAGATTCAGAACTAGGTAATGGGTCAAAGGTGATACTGTCAGGACCCGTGGATTTAAAACACATGAGAGGGCTGGAGTCCGAGGTAATGCCTTTAACCCGTTATTCCACCCTCCACATCCCCTCTGCTCTCTAACAGGCCATTGTTCTGCATTTTGACGACTGTAACCATAACACACGGGCTGGTGAGAGCAAGAAAGTTCAGAAACAGTAAACACACACACATGTTTTCCATTAGCCTGAAACTCACTGATGAGCCTGAGCTTGGACACTGTTTCCCTGCGCTTTACTATTAACTTAAGGGGAAGGAATTTAGGTGTCTTTAAATGTGTGTTTGTGTAATGATTAGTACCTGATGTCATTCATCTTTTTCAATTCCTATATTCTTGTTTTATAATGAGATATATATACATAAAATAATAGTGACATATAATATGTCACTTGCAGCTTAAAGCTGTTTGTTGACTAGCTCTACCTTATCTTGAAGCAATGCAGCAGCTTAGATAAACCCATACTTTCTGAGTTTACAATTTCTGCTTTATTTTCATAAATACACACTCAGGGGACTGATGTACTTTTGAAAGGACTAATATCCACCCAGTGGAAGTGTCCCATTCATGTTTTCATCACTATAGTAGAGATGCTAGTGCTCCCTGTGCCTGGCAGGATGTCATTTCAGATAACTCTAACTGTAGCTCTGCACTAAACCTGCTGACACATAAATATAGGCTGCGGCGTTCTACCAGTCCAAGCAGGGTTTTTTTTTTTTTTTTTTTTTACAGAGACAGACAGAAATGAGAAACGGAGATGCTGCCCAGCCTACACGGAAAGACTTTCTATGAAACTTTTCCAAGTGTTTGTATGACATCTGGCTATCAGCATTGCATGTTTTTGTAATGTGGTATAGCTACTAGCGCGCCTTATACTCAGAGCGCTGTGGATGAACGTGTGCTCAAATATCCTGCACGCACAGAGATGGAAGGTAAAAGTGAGACTCTACCTGCATATGTAGGCATAAAGGCATCTTCCCACTTTTTGTGATAGACTTTTCAGCCTCAGTTATTATCACTTTTTTCTTCCGGGAAGGACTGAAACGAAAATATATACATTTTTTATTACACTTACAGTACACTCACATATTATTGTAATTTAATGATTATAATAATTTTTTACTTTTTCATACACACACACATATATGTATGTATCACAGATAAATTAATTGCAACTCATCCCAACTCAGCTCATTAAATAAATAAAAATATATATATTTAATAATAATTCTGTATATTTACCATTGTCCCAGATAATCGATTTCTCACATAGCTGTGCTAGTTTCCTGTCACTTGTATCGTGGCTCTTTTCTTCTGGCATAATAAAATAATTTCAGTTAAAAAATCAATATTTTTTTCATTATCACAGAAAAGTAGCCGGTTATTATTGCAAAACAACCTTCTTCAGACTGACCGCACATTATCCCTTGTTTGTTGTATCCCTGATGTCCACAGCTAGTATGTTCTGGGAAAACAGGGACCCACTTTTAGCTGTCACATTTCTTGAAGGGACTTGTTACCTCTAGATGTGACATGCCAGCTCAACTCTTAACCTGTAGACAGCTGACCCCTGACTCTCGTATTCTTTTGCTGTTCTCTGCCTGCCACCCTTCCACCAGATACCTGACCTCGCTGTCACGGCCTGTTATTGTTAAAGATCCTTTTTACCATCTGGAATGGCTGTGCACTAAACACTAGACTACACTACCAAACCGTTGTTTTAAATCAACAGAATGGGAGAAGCTTAGCTTCCCCGGCTGCCGCGTAGTGCCACGATATTGGTTTTTGTGTCAGAGTGAATAGACAATAGAAAAATAAACACGGGTTTAGATGCGAGACAAAGGGATGTGACTTTTGAACTACGCCTGTCGATCAACAGCATGTGATTGAAAGCTACGATTTCTAAAGCGCCATTCTGCTTCTTCCCTAAACAAAAGCAGCTGCACTGCTGCGGAGGAAGAGCCCCCTACTGGTAGGGAGTGCAAATCCATGTATCCTAACCTGAAGGTAAGGGAGCACTGACACAGTTAGCCAAGCCTTTCTGACAGCAGCTGTCAGTGGCTAGCCCACCTCCTGCAGAGAGGCTGTACTCTCCACCCTAACACCACCCCTCACCTACGTTTGTTTGGAGACCTGGGGTGGGGGGGGGCTTCAGTGTGGCCGCTCAGGCTCAGTCAAGCATTGGACAGCTCAGTGTGAACGGAGGAGAATGAAGCCCATTTCTGGCCCTTGAAGACCCGGGCTGCTGAATTCACTGGCCTGGAAAACAGTTTACCAGATGTTTTGAAGGTGTTAATTATAGCATATACTGTCAGAGCTGGAGGAACATAGTGACGTCTCTTTCACCAGCTCAAGCGCAATTAAGCATTCGAGGTTCTTTCTCAGCAACCTTGTCAGTGGTGGGAGAGAGGATCTTAATTGTCAGGGTTACGCTCACCGTGTCCTCTAGCAAGCTTGCTGTTTCTCCATTTTCCTCTCACGTATTTTAAAAGGTTAATAATTGTTCATAGCCTGTTTTTTTGCATTTTTTTGCAAACATTGCTGTATTGATGCATACTTAAAAAAAAATTAAAAAATCAATGGTTTCTCAACCTTTTTTTACTGAAAAATGTAAAGTCATCCTTTGACCCCTTGCTTGGAAGTTGCTCTAAACCCTAAGTATTAAACTCAGTATTAAACTAAGTGTAACTCATCCTGCACAGTTCATGCTATGGACATGAATGATATGCAGTTTGTTTTGGAGTGACGTGATATTTTTTCCAAGTGATTGGACTTTTTACTTAACGGATGATAACATTTTTGAAACATCACATGGACTTACATTAAAGAAGGCAGCATGGACATGGGATGGGCTCTATTGACTTCTTATTGACTACCTATCAACCATGCTTAACCCCATAGCAAACACCTAGCAGCAACCCAGCATATCCTATCAATTGCTAGCAACATGCTAAAACCACTAAGAGCACATTAGCAACCACATAGCAATCTTGGTAACCACCCAGCACATCATAGCATCATGGCAATTTTCATGGCTCCACTAACATTTTCTTTAGAAAGGGGAAAAAAGAAAAATCTAATTTTGCCTTTTTCAATGATACAATAATTTTCAGTGTTTTAATTCATAATTTGAATTTTTTGCTTTTGTGTGTCTTCATCTACCAGCTCTTGAATCTAGTTATGATCATAATGTAAAAGAATTAGTGAAAAAAAAATTCTTCCATATTTTGATGTACATGTGGATTATTGAAAAAAAAAAAAAAAAAATCGGCTCAGGGACGGTCTAGCCATTGAATGTTGATTGGCTGGAGGCAGATCTGAATACAAGTTTTCAGTTGATTGTAAGAAAGGGGCGGGGTTTAAGCAGACTAAATGATTGGAGAAGTGCAGCACACGTCACCAGAGAGAAATCTGTCATTTCACCGGATGATCCAGTTATGACATTCTGATTAAAAATTCAAGGTAAAAATAAATAATTAAAGTAGTGAATTTAAATAGGGTGAATTTACATTTCATGCAAACTTTAAAGGTGAAACATGTGAACAAAGCATGGGATTAAATGTTAAACTACCTTTTTTTCCTATCCCATGCAAATGACTTCTCAGCGAGTGTAAACACTGCTTTCATTGGAAAATGCTGCCAGTGGTGGATAAATTACACTTCACCTTTAGTTTAATCTTTTTGTAAACACATGAAGACCGACTAGATCAAACCTATAGCTGTTTGTTCTCTAGTCTACTTTTGCTTATTTCCTCAAATGAAACAGAGAGCAAGTTAGCAAATAAACTTTTTCCAACCTTTTGTTTTGTCTGGTTTGAGTAGTGTTTTGTCTTTTTCTTCCGGTGTGTGTAATTTGAAAAACAAACAGCCCTGGATGGAGCTTCATGAATAAAGGATACGCTGGTACAGGTGGGCTGCTGTGGCGGGAAACGAAGGCCTGTCAAGCCCACCTCCAGTGTCAATCACGAAACGACAACATAAAGAGAACCAGAGCAAGAGTCTGTCTGCCAGCCATGCTCCTAGAGGCGCTTCATGGTAGAGCTTGTCTTACTCTCAGGCTGGTGTTTCAGCTGCGGGCTCAACAGGGACAACAAAAAAGCAAGAAGTGTGACGGCAGGGCCAGGAGAGGATGAGGAAGAGTGAGAAGAGGAGCCGAGAGGTGCTCTAGGCCTTTAATCCACCTCAGTGGTACCACCTCTTCCAGCGCCGTGCCCCCGTTAGCGAGACAGCGCTTCACCCGCGCCTGGCAGACACGTCTCCGCTCCTCCGTGCCAGCCCCTGACAGGTGACAAAATCAAAAGGTCACGTCACTTTGAACTGGCAGCGTTTGTTGCCCTGCTGATTTCCCTCGTGCCGCCGCGGCTCGCAGGCGAGGTTGGAGGCAAGGCGGGGAGCGACTTTGGCAGCTCGTGAACTTCATCTTTGTGAACTTTTGTACCCGTGATTTTGCTAACAACACTGCAGAGTTTTTTGGGGTTTTTTTGTCACGGCTGCCGTCGCCATTGTTGACGCAGGCTTGTCTCGGGAAGCCGGGTTTATTTACGGAACAAAAAGCCAGAGTGTTTTTCTGGGTCCTGTGGGTTCGGGGCTGCTGCGGATTACAGTGGAACTCGAGCTGTGGGACCGACAACCCCGCTGACTCCCGTGGCTTCTGGATACGCGTGACCCTGGCGATTCCTCTTGACGGCCCGTGTGCCCTGTACAGCTCAGCCCCAAAGAGACGTACTGGCTGCTCCGTCTCTCTCCCACACATCCCAGCTATTATTTTGCCCATTGTCCTCACATTTGAATCATGACCGCTCTTATTGAAACGTAATATTTCGCACAAACAGAGTTTCTTCTATCGCCAGCAGTCGTACTCTTTGACTCGAGCCCCTACAGAGGTCAGACCACAGTCAGCCAGTGCTGGCAAAAACTCAAGCCCTCCCTCTGACCAGCAGGGCTCTGACAGCCTGTGAAGAGGCTGTTTGGGCTCGATGTGCTCCGGCGAGAGCCCTTATCAGCCTTCCAGGCCTGGGCTCTCCCGGGCCTCTCGTCCACACGCGGCATACAAAGCAGGGCCAGCCCCTGAGCAGCTGGAGACGCTAGAGATGTCTCACATTTCAAAGAAGAGCTGGAGGAGGGGAGAGCGCAAGAGCTGAGAGGCAAGAGAAAAAAATGAAAGTGCATATCTTCATGTTGGATGGCTTGTCTAGCTAGGGCGTCTATTCCCAGCGCACCTGTCACAGGGAAGGTTAGAATTAAAGGTGCAGATAGCAGGGTTCTTCCTCCACTGATGGCAGAAAGCAAGAGAAAGTGCATTAACTCGCCAGGATGGATGTCACGCCGCTGGTCTGGAGATGGTGCTGCTGCTAACCGAAAGGCCAAACAATGGACTTAAAGTCTGGATCTGATGCTATTTCAGTCTGGATTTCTGTCTGCAAGTGAGACATATTGACTGTCGAACCTCCGAGTTCAAGCTATCGTAGGTTTGCTTGAAGTTCAACTTCCTCCAAGTTCTTTTTCCCAGCGTATGACCTCTGGCTAACCTTGCACTGGAACTACTTTGCTCTTCTAGTCGATCCGTCCGCCATTAGACTTCCGCAAAACACCATCGCTATAGTCTCCTCGCAGCACTGCGTGTATCTATCCTGAACCCTCCTTTTGTTTCTGCCGCAGGCTGCATTTACATAAGAGGCTTATAGCCATACACTCTCTCTTTTAGACAAGACAAAGGAACAAAAGCTATTGTTTGCTAAGTAACAATTTTTGGATGTCACAAAAAAACTGATGAAATGCAATGAGCCAAAAATAAATAAATAATAAATTCATCAAAAAGATGTATTCCTCCCTGATAGCTTTTTGGTGTTTTCATATGCCCGAGTTGTCGTATGTAAATGCACACATGCACACACATGACCTTGAAGCTTTGATGCGGGATTGACAGGAGGAACCACAAGAAGAGAAATAATGATCTATGTCTTTTCAGTCCTCCGGCAACAAAAACAGACATGATACACACTCCTCTGGGCTCCTGTGAGCCACGGAGGCCAAATATAATGTTTTCAGTTGACCGAGATAAACTCTTTATTTGTGTGCCAACATATCGTCTGATTATTTTGGTGTCTAGAGTTCTGATTAACAAGCCAATGAGATCTGAATAATTAATGCTCCCAAATTACCAGATCACACAGGAAGGTTTTTTTTTTTTCTGTTTGTGAGTAAAACATATGTGGCATATTTTATAAACTCAACGGATGCACTTAAATAAATGTGACGTAAATGTAATTTAGTGATCTGCTTTATTTTATCATTTTAAGTAGCTTTTTACATTTTAATAGTGTAAATAGTACTTGTCTGTGCAAAATTCATGGCTATGATGTTGTGGGTGGTTGCCATGTATTGCTAAGGTGTTCTGAGTGCTTGTGTAGCATGTTGATACTGCAGTTTCAAGGGTGTTGCTAGGTGGTTGCTGGGATGTTCTAGGTGGTTTATGAAGTGGTTGCTTTCTAGTCTTAATCAGAAGAGCCCACTTCTATGACATTCTCTATGAATGTAAATTCACTAAGTGCAACATGTTCCTTCCTGGATTAAAATCTTTGTTGATCCTGGAACAAAATTCCAATCATCCGATTCGAATTGGTGGACAAGTTTACAACCAGGTTTAGGTGCTTCTACATCAGTGTTATTCACCTGTCATTTCTGATAACTGATTTTTGGGATAAGTTATGGGTAGCGTTAGGTTTTGGGGGACTTTTTAGAACTAACTAATTTAAAATAGCATATTATGGTACAAACAGATTTATACACTGACATATAAACTGACTTGTTTTTTGATACTGTATGTGTGCATTCATATAAATTCACCTATAGTTCAATTGTGCCTCTCACACAGCTAAACGATTAGTTGCCCTCTATCTTGCTCTCAATATTCTCAGCATCACTCTATTCATCATTTTTTTTGTATGTTCTTCTGGGAGAATCGAGTAGCCTGCAGCATTTCTCGAGGTCATGGGCATACGGCTCTTTGTGTGCTTGAGTTAAGGATGAAAACCTGAAGGGGTTTTGAAGGGACCATTGTTGGCCTGGATCTGGTCCACTGAAGCACATAGTTAACGTTCTATGTCATCAGCCTCCCTTTGCCAAAGGCTCTATTGAGGTTTTAACCTTATGGACAAGAGGACACAACGGATGACTTTAGAGACTGAGGTCAGACTCAGAGGGTTTGCTTTCTATCAGAGGACTATGTGCTATCATTTGTTTTCACTTGAAGATGTGGAGATGTTCCTAAGTGTACATGTGAAATTGATTTTCTCTTTGTTTTGTTTTCTTCTTCTTTTTTATCCCCCCCCCCCTGCTCTCTTCTCTTTTGTTCTGCTCTTCACAATGCACATCAGCAAGCTGTGGAGGATTTGCTGGAGGACGAGGAGGAAGACTTCGACAGAGATGACAAGGTATTTATCGGTGCCACTTTCAAACATGTATTTCAACACCGATGTATATTTAATACTCAAATGTTCTCTAAAGTGTAATGCATTGAAAATGCAGTAGTTCTCACATTTGACTCAAATACTAATAGGTCATTGTTTTGTTTTTTTCTTAGTGTTTTAACACTTTCCGCCACATTTATATAGTTAAGGTCCACAACTAGTCTGTCAGAGATGCTAGTGTCTGAAGTCTAGAGAGTTCCAGTACATGTTTCCTTTTTACCCAGAATAAAGGGGAACCACATAGGCATAAATAAACATGGCTTCAGGGTCTCTGTGTTGAGCTTCTGATATTTCTCAAGGCCTTTGAAGTGCAATTAATAGCATTCAAATGACCTCAGGCCAAATGCCCCAGCAGCATTCACAAGGAAGCATGTTAATGGTTCTGAGCAGGCAGATTCATGTTATTGCTCGGCAAAATACTAGCACTGATGCATTTTGTCTGGAAATGGGTCAACAAGAATGTCAACAAGTTCATTTTTCGAGCGATGTGAAATTATAAAGATGAAAACATAACTTATGACATCTTACGTACATTCCTCTTTAGTGGAATTAAAGCGCATGAAGTAGAAGGTCGCCGGCAGAAGAATGAACCGGTATCTGACTGTATTAATGTCAAGGATCTGTTGTACCTTCAGACAGATTAGCTCAACTCAGTTGAGTTGTTGGAAAGTTGAGAAGGTCTACTCTGGGCTACTTTTTTTCTCTGACGTCCTCTCTCTGTCCTTTTGCCTAATCTTTTTCCTTTTGCATAGTCTTAGTTTGCATAGTTTTGCATAGTTTTTTTTTTATTCTTCATAACTGGGTAGAATGATTTAAATCGTTAAAATTAGAGTTTGCATCAGTGTTGAGGTGGCTACTTTGAATTATGATAGCCTATAGCTTGGCCAATTACACAAAGTTCAAGTAGTCAACAATGGCCAACCTATACATGTACTCTTTTTTTAAAAGTATTTTTTTAAACACGCACACACACACACACACACACACACACACACACACACACACACACACACACACACACACACACACACACACACACACACACACACACACACACACACACACACACACACACACACACACACACACACACACACACAGTATATATTGGATTTTATATTAAATGTCTTGAAATCAATCAATCAATCAATCAATCAATCAATCAATCAATCATTTTGTATTGTACCATAACTTATTTTTTTATTTGATTTTCAATGCTTCATTGCATACATAGTTCATTACTGTTACATTTAGTACACAGTCTTTAAATTTTTTTTTTTTTTTTTCATAAATTTTCATTTACTCTTTTTGCTTTTGAACAAAATGTGTGTAGTTAAATGGTTGGACAGTCACTGTTGGTCACACATTTACAACACATTTATATTGCACAAAAAAAAACATAATTAAATTGAAATTAATTTCTATATTAATGTATTTACAATAAATACAACTAAAGCACAAAAAAGTTGTCCTCATATTTAAAATAATAAGTAAAAACATAGTGGTAAACAGAAGCATTTTACTGAATATTTAGGTTGAATTGGTGAATCATTTATTTTAATGATGAATTATTTATTTGTAAATATTATTAATTTAAGTTTCATTAAGTTGCAGCAGACTTCCCAATGTTACAGATGACAGAGGCTTTGCATCGCTCTGCTGTAAAGTGCAATAATGTGATGAAAAATACAGTGGTGCAGAATTATGTGAGACTACACAGATACTAGATAGCTTGGTAAAAAGATGTAGATAAAATTAAGAAGATAAAAAGTAGCTTAGTACTTCAATAGTCACACTATTTGGGGACAAAATAGCTGCAATAATACCATACTTTTAGTTACTCCTCAACAATAGTTTGCAGTTCTTTCTTTTGGTCTCTTTACTTTCTTCTCCTCGTGTCAGTTTGTTGATGACCTCACACACTCATTACCTACTCTGTTTGTTCAAACAGTAAAATACTGAGGTCACATTAGGGTAGGACCACTTTCACTGGATGAAGGAAAGGGGGAAAAAAATGGATAAATGTGCCAAGGCCTCATTTTAATTGAACTTGAAGCATATGTTACAAGTATGTGCAATATGTCCCAGATGTTTAGGCCAGGCCTAGTCTTCAGCTCTTCCTTGGTCGTCTCCACTAGGAAGCTATTAGCTGGATAACCTTTGCCCCAGGGGCTAAATGGGGTATTACATGGCAGGCACCTGTTTTGCATTGGACTGGGGACCTCTTGCAGGCATAGTTTGAGCCAAGACATGTGTTTCTACTTAACAAACTGTTTCGTGATAGTTAAAAGTGTCTTTCTTCAGACTCACTGCAGATATTAGTCAATTACTCTTAATGAAAGTCCAAAGTCAAGACTAATTGATGGAGACGGATCAGTTGTTTTGCCCAAGTAGGCAATTGGTTCCAAAACAAGAAAAGGGGAGGGAGAAGAAGAGAGAGAGAGAGAGAGAGATCAGGTGAAAGCAAGGTTAGTGCAAGTGACATTGTAAAAATGTTTTAAAATGGGCGATTTTTGCAGAGCACCTGGCTATGTGAAATCAAATCGGTGTTGAGGAAGCTGCTTTTAAATAATTTAAAGTACTTAATACTCTACTCTGCAAGCTACTAACAAATTGTAGCTAATTGCATTAGAACTGTTTTTAGTTTAGATCTTAGATTTTAGATCACTTAAAACATTTACAGTGAAAATAAAAATCCAGACTTGTCATTAACAACATGTATTTATCTGAATATATTTTCACCAAAACATTTATATGAATGCCAGGCATTTTGTGTTACCTCAAATTTTAGAAGCATTCGGAAGTGAAATGCCTTGAGCACAATGGACCTCTTCAATATCCCTGCTTCTTTAAAGAGCAAAAATTCAAGCTAGCAGTCCTGTAAACATAAGTTTGGGGTTGGGCGCAGGTTTTTGGGAGAGGAACGATCCCCTGCTGCTACTTTCAGATTGACGTCAATGGAAAAGTCATTTGTGAAGAGCAAGTTATTACATTTAGATGATAGATTATGAAGACACAAAGTTCTTTTTTGGAATAACGTAGACATACATTTTTACAAGTAAATAGGATCAATTTTGATTTCATGTTAGCCTCAAATTATTTAGCTTTTAGCCTAGAAAGCTATAGTTTCAAAACTTCTACAGGACTTTTTGTGATCATGGATTTTAGGGTTAAACTATTTGGATGTCGGTGTATGCAAAAGCATGCTGAGTACATGACATTAAAGCCATATGCTTGCCACACACTTCTCCTTTTCTCTTTGCCAGGCTAGTGCCAGTGTGTGTGCATGCAGATGTGTACATGTGTGTTTACAGTGCTGAATAGCTCTCTGGAGAGTTCGCAGACTCCACCAAATTCATCAGCAATCTCGGCAACAACAGCCAAAATATTTTAACACCTGCTCCGCCAAACACATGTAAACACACAAGCAGAATGGCAGGTAATTATCCAGGTGATAATGAATGTGCCTCACATTGTTAAACCTCTCTCAGATATGCTAGTGTGGAATTAAGCTGTAGCATCGGGTACGCTACGATAACATGCCTAATGCTCCGCTTGTGCCACAGCTGTCTCGCTTGTGTGCAGCCGCTTTCCCAAAGAAAGTTTGCAAAGGTTTTGTATTTTCATTACCTTTCTCTGTTTTTATGCATCGAATACTCACCTGTCATAAAGCAGATGCTGGAAGCCTAGTCTTTCTTGCTCTGATAATATTTTGAGAAGAACTATTGTGTTGTTTTTAATGGAATAGTTCACCTAAAAATATTATTTCTAAAAAATCATCATTTATTCACACTCATGTCATTATTTACCCATAGGACTTTCTTTCCTCTATGGAACACAAATGGAGAAACTTTGAACAGTGTGCTGGTTTCCATGCAATTACAATGAAATGAGACTTAAAAAAGATGCACAAGAGTGTCATAAAAGTGGTCCATGTGTCTTATTTGCTGTAGTCTGAGTGTTCTGAAGCAATTAGCAAATAGTTTTGCGTGAGAAACGGACCAAAAGTTAAGTTGTTAATCACTGATAATTTTTAAACTCTTGTGTCCAAAACCGTAAAGCCCAAAGTATAACAAAGTAAACCAGTCCATGTGCAGCCCAATTTATGTGACCGCGCGGATGGTGTGCACACAGCACCACATGTGCGAGTGACTTGAGCGCTTGAAAACAAAATCCACTAGATAGTGCAGATGCGCCGAACGCGTCTTTCCGTGCTCAAGGCCAAAGAAGTATACTTTGAAAGGCCCGCACACTCAACTGTGCGCGAGACAGAGCGGAACACGGAAAATGAAGTATACCAGGGCCTTTTGTTAAGCTTCACGAGGACGCACTGAATCGTTCTTTGTTTAAATAGTTCAAAGTTACTATTAGAATAATGTTATTACCTTGACAAACTATACATCATTAAAAAGATATAAGACTCAAGTTTCAGTATTTGACAACTACCCAGACAGCAACATAGTGTCGGCCCGACATCCGGTACATGTGTAGGGCTATTAAACGCGGCCCAGGTGTGGGCCGGATCTGGGCCGACACTATGTTGCTGTCTGGGTATTTTATTCTGAGAAACGTATAGTGACAGTTATGTCTTAATTTGCGTCAGTAGTTATGTAATAAAAAAATTAGTCAATTCCTTTAATATGAATTATGAGCGTTAGCTGCTCCCATTCAGAAAAAAACTCCTTTACTGTCGTCATGAGGGTACTTGACAAAACAACGTCCCTCAGGGCTTTTAGCTCAAAAATGTCCAGATTTGGAGAAATATTAATAGATTCTCATAGGTTTACGTCAGATTTCTATAGAGAGGAATAATATTTATTGAATTTATACCCAAATGTGCCGATGTAATCATTATGAGCGCTGGATACTCAAGCATTTTGACTGCTTTAACAGCTGACTTTTCTCTGTTCAAAGTACTTTTCACTAGCTATGTGTCCATCCAAATGTGCGAATTTAACATAAAACATTTGCGAATAAAGCACCGTTTTTATCCAATTAGCCAATGTGAACAAAATCGTCACTAACTGATAAACTGCCGCTAAATATCACTTAGAAAAATGGAATTTGCTGCAGTAGGAGAAGCCACTGTATATAATAATTTTGTATATAATACATTACTTGCGCCTCAGAGTGCGCAGACGAAACACAATAAAGTTATCTTGCGTTGAGGCTGATGCCTGGTGTTTAGGAACACAGTCATGTGACAGTTCTGGGAAGTACTTAACCACTTTGACGACGGACTTTGCAGGCATTTCAGAATGACCAAAACAGCATTTAAGATGCTGTGCTACGAGATCTGTCCGCTGGTTGGTCCAGGTATGCCGTCCCATCACAAAGTCACGTCTTTTTTATGCACATCATGAAATTCGGTAAATGTGTTTCCATCGTAGTTTATGAGCATGTTTTCTTATCAGATAATAAAGTTTTTTATGCGCATTTTTAGAATTTATGCACGTTTTGGGCGTTTCCATCCAGCATTTTTTATGCAATATCCCAAAATGTGCATACAAATAGGTGTATGGAAACATAGCTACTGGCAAAGTCCACTTACACACTCCAACTTGCAGTGCACCTATTAATATGGAAAAAATAACAAGCTCAAAGATGGACATAGCAACACTGTAAGAGCACGCTTTGCGAAGCAGCTTTACGAGCATAAACAAAACACAGGCAGTGGAATGAAAAAAAAAAAAGCAAAGTCTATAAATGTTGGCTATTTTTAAAAAGTTTAACTTATTTTAACTTGAGCTCCACGTTTTTAGAACGCCGGTGTTAAAACAAGGTATCACTACTTGACAAACAATGTTCACTTACATTTAAGCTCAAATGGTATGGAGCAAATTTGAGCTGCAGACAATATTGGGAAAGTGGCTTAAGGAATAGTAATCTGTAGGATTGCAAAGCTGTTATTGCAGTGGGACCAGTTTAGTGTTTGTTGAGGTGCAGTTACATGAAAGCCATTTATGTGTGAAGCTATACAACGTATGTCACAGTTGCATGCTTGTTTTCTCTAGATTTAAGTTTTTATTTTTTTATTTTTTTTTTTTATAAAATCACTGGGTCTTACCTGGCTACCCCTGAAAAAAAGTTCTGGCTATGCCCCTGGTGAACAACAACACTAAAAGTGTCAATTTGTTTCTTGAACAAACCTATTTAAAAGTCTTTGGATATAGTGGAAAATGGAAAGACCACTTTTATTAACTTTTATGGTGCTGTTTTGCCAGCCTGGGCATTTTTGCAAAACCTCTCATTTTGTGTTCTATAGAGTAATGACAAGAGTGTGTAGTAATGACAGATTTTGTGTGTGTGTGTTTATTTATATGTATTTTTTAGTAACATGCACTACAGCATCCCATTCATTTTCAGGTCACTATTCCAGTAAGTTTTTTTTTTTTTTTTTTGCACATGCTAATTGATAATATGGCTATTTCTGTGATGTCATCTTAAGCGGTGTTGTGCGGACATGTGTCCGGAGAGTACGGAGGGATAATCAGCGTTAGTGCTCCATCTAAGAAGCAGCCAGGATGACAGCGCCAGTGTCTCCAGGGAGTAAAAAGAGAGAGGGTGAAAGAGTGCTGAGATTAGGAGTGTACGCTTGGCTGGGCACTGGAGTAATGGTCCTACACATACACACACAGCCCGAGGAGGAGCCGCCCCAGATAAGATACACACTGCAATCATGTCATGCTCACAGGCTTACCACAACTCACGCACGCCTCCTTACATGCCCAACAGCTGTTAGGAAGTGAGCGCGATTGTGCTGCCTGCTCGACTGGATATTAAAAATGGCATGTAACCGTATGTTGTATGTCTTATAAATAAACAAGCATTCAATATGAATGTGAAGCAAAACAGTTACAGAGAAAGAGAAAAAAGGATAGTGTTTGTTGTCAAAGGCTTGGCAGTTTCCATGAGGTCTCAGTTTTGTAAATTAATATCTAAATGTAGCTTTTAGGCCTGAAATATATACTACAAGTATGCAAATGCAGACTCTTGGCCAATGGGTCGCAAGCCCACTGACAAACTGGAAAGACAATGGAGTTATCTTTAAATATATGTGCTATAAACAGGGTGTAATGGAATTATTATTCAGGTCGCTAGCTATAAACACGTATAGTATATACATATTAAAGTTCAATAGTTTTGGGCTGGTAATACTTTTTGTCTATTTAAAGTCTCTTATGCTCACCAAGGCTGCATTAATTTGATCAAAATGTGTTAAAAAGACATTGTGTTATATTTTCGCAATTGCAAATGTTCTATTTTAATGTTTTATATTCTTATATTTTTTTTATTCCTGTGATTCCTTTACATTTTTAGTAGTCATTACTCTATTTTTTTGTGTCACATACTCATTTAGATATCATTCTAATACATATTTGCTAGTCCAATAACCACCTGAATAAATGTATTCATTATTATAAATACTGTAAAATACTATAAATATTATATTTTATAAAAAAATAAAAACCTTGTAGATTGTATAATTAGATTTTTTCCAAAACGAATGAACTAAATAATGAATGAAATAAAAACACCACAAAATTCATATTAATTAATTCAGTTAACCCTTTTTTTATGTAACTTTAAACAGAATACCAACTATTTGAATGTCAACTTCAAGGAAATGTAGTTACTCGTATATTTTGTATTTTAAGTGTATTACCATTACTTGTATTCTGATACTCCCCAAACTCGTGTATTCACTAAACTGTTGATCTGCCTTGACAGTAGTTGACCTGAATGTGAAATCTGACCCTATGAGAAGCTTGTTAATGCCAGCTATAGCTTTCAGATTCTAAGATCCACATGCATATTCAGATCTACTGTATTACGGTATACAGTGCCTTTAAATATACAAAATGTCTTGTGAATAAAATGTCTTATGTGATAAAGGAAGAAAGCAAAATAAATATTCTTTCTTCTGTTTCTTTCTTTCTCTCTCTGGACCTGACCTTGTTTTTAGTGTTTAGCCTACTCTTACCCACTCTCTCCACCACACCACAGCCACTTTAGCAGGGAGAAACATAAGCTAACCTCTTTGCACTGTGAAACACTGACAATCTGATCCCGATTCATGCACATTTATGTCCGCTAGAATCTAGCATTACAAGCAAGCCTTATCTGGAGATAACACACGGAGGGTTAAACCCAGCCGAGCAGAGGCAGGGGGTTGATCTGGGCGATAGCTGCATGGCAGTATGTAATTGGACTAAAGAGTGTGCTAGGGATTATTTTTATTACTTTGAAACACTGTGACTGAAAACTTGTTCTGGGGCTATTGAGCTTGTGAAACGCGATGTGTATCCTCAGGTAACGTGGCTTTCTTCAGTGCTAAGGAGAATACAGAGAGAAAGAGAGAATGTTTGTGCTTCTCTGGCTCCTTTTCTTCTCAGCGCCTCTAAAAGATGAAAAGCTTCATGCTGTAAAAGATGCTTTTGACTTTTTTTTTCCTTGGCTCTTTTCCCTTTTCTTTTTATTTAGGGGAGAGATGCTCCTAGGAACTGCATTTTAATCATGTTTGGCTAATAAAGATAGATTAGAAAAATCCTACACACACTCAGGGCATTGTCTTGTTGTGTAAAATAGCTTCATTGTTTGATTTCTCTATTTTGCCTTCATATCAGGTGGATTTTTCTCTCTCTCAAGGGTCCGGAGCCATCTTAGTAGCCTTCAATGTTTTTTTTGTTTTTTTTTTGTCTAACTCTTTTCCTTTTGTAGCCCTGCTTTAAAAAGATCTCAATTTATTCTGGTCCACAAGGTGCCGGGTTCAGTCCCCTCCCAGGATGGCCGGCTGCCTGAAAGCCATATCCTTGCGGATATTTTGGCTTCCTGGCACTTTGAGTGGATTCGCGTGATGGTGGTAAGTGCGGTCCGTATGTCCCCGTGTCTCACTTCTATGGCTCATCGTCTGTCACGCCAAGCAGGGTTGTGTGTCGCTCCCTTTCACCTTTCACTTTGTTCTCAGTTGTCACTCTTCCTCCTTTATCTTGAAGAACTAGCTTTGTGACCAATAGTTATTTTTTGGACTCTGGAATAGCTGGAAACTTCCTACACTTGTTCGGTGGGTGCTAATGCTAGGTCACCTTAAAAGGTTTGTTCACCCAAAACCGAAAATCCTGTCATTAATTATTCACCCTCATGTCGTTCCATACCCATAAGACCTTCGTTCATCTTCGGAACACAAATTAAGATATTCTTGATGACATACGAGAGATTTCTGACCTTCTGATAGGCAGCAACGTCATTGCAACTTACAAGGCCCAGAAAGGCAGTAAAGACATCGTTAAAATAGTCCATGTGACTACAGTTGTTCAAGCTTAATGTTATGAAGCAACGAGAAGCAACCCCCCCCCACCGATTATAACGACTTTATTCAACAATCTCTCTTCCACTTCATTCTCCTATACTCTGTTGACGTAGTGTAAACAGTGCAGCGCTTCCTGGTTCTACGTCAGAACGCCGGCTCACTATTGGCTAGCTCCTGCGTTAGCATCATACCCATGTGCCATGGTGTGTCGGCCAATAGTGTGGTGGCGTTCTGACGTAGAAGGAAGTGCTGCGCTGTTAACACTACGTCAACAGCGTAGGAGAATGATGTGGAAGAGAAGAGATTTGAACAATTGATGAACGAATGTCTTATGGGTTTTGAACGTTATGAGGGTAAGTAATTAATGACAAATTACATTTTTGGGTGAACTAACCATTTAATATGACAACCTGCTCAGTAGAAAGTAGTGGCTTTTTGGTTTGGGTTTTCTCCTTATGGTTTTGGCTTAAAGGTTGTAGTGTGCTTTACTAACCTAAGCATTCAGGGTGCATTGGGGCATACATATTTGTGCTGTCACTAACCTTTTTCAAAACAGCAGGTGCGCCAGCCACAGGCTGACCCAACATGGCTTATTCGATGCCTTCATCTCATGAAAAACTCATTTGCAGCTCAGATAACGATAAAGGAACACTGAACCTGTGCTGTATAGACAAGGAAAGCAGCTTCCAAGAAGATGGTTTATGAATGAATAATGAGGGTATATTGAAGTTTGTCTCCGAAGTGGAGGGATGCCATTGCCATTTATATCCTTTTGAGAAGCGGATCCCTCAGAGAAACTTTTAAAAATTGAGAACGTCTACATGCACTCGCTATAGATGGCAGCTCAGCACACTGACTGTGTGTCTTTTTGGATTGTTTAGTAGTGTAATGGGACACTGCATTAAAGAGATAAATAGCTAAATGCCACTGTACTTTCTAGGGATGGGTTACAATGATTGTCTAGTCCAACAACTGATTAGTAAGGACAACTAAGTTATTTAGTACTTAAACTATATATACCTATCGATCGATCGATAGGTATATATAGATCGATAGGTATAAAATGTGTGGGTTTATCTATTTATTATCTATCGATCGATCGATCGATAGATAATAAATATATTATGTCATTACAAAACTATGATTTTGATTTTATTTCATATGGTGTTTTTTCCCCTTTATTGGGACAGGTATTGATAATTGACAGGAAGCAAAGTGGGAGAGAGGCAGGTGGGATCAGGAAAGGACCACAAGCTGGGACTCGAAGTCGAGCTGCCCAAAACGCAACTGTGCTACATGTCGGAGTGCTGCCCACGAGGCTATCTGACAAAGATTATAGAAAATATTTTTTGTGACTATTTTGCCCTCTAAGAAACATGTGCAAACGCTTCATGTGAACTCATAACAGGCCTAATTATATTGAATGTTTGTTGTTGACCACCTACTGAGTTGTCAACTTTTAAAATGTGTGGGTTTTAACATCCATATGAGCTATATGGGTTTGCCTGTTGGTGCCCAGCTTGATGATGTTTCCCCAGTTTGACGGCCTCATTTTTGCGAGATGGAGAGAGCAGGGCGAATCCAGTGCAGTGGTGGATGGAGCTAATTGTGCTCCATTCATCATCAGGTGGCATCCAGGGACCCAGAGAGGACAGGGCAAGGAGAGCAGGGGGAACACAAGCGATCTGAGGTGAGTAGGGGGGGTCGCTCCAGGGGTGAGGGGCATCATCAGAGAGGCTGGAGAACAGGGGCAACTATCAGGTTGACCTTGGGGCTGATGGAGTGCCTAGCCCGCTGGGTGAGGAGACCTGGGGAGTAATGGCGAAGGTGAACCCGGCTCTCCAGCGGATCCATTAGAGCCTAATGCTGTTGTTTTTAGCAGGGAGCAGTGGGAAGCAGAGGTCGGACGTAAAATAAAGCTTATTTTCCTTGTTTACGGTGTTATTCATCTGCACGTCATTGCACAGGGATGTGTTGGGAGCTCAGTGCTAGTGTGGATGCAGTTTTTTTTTGTGGTCCTTAGAACTGAAGGCGCTTGCTTGTCATGACTAAAACCTTCCTTTTGTGTCTGATCAGAGAGCAAATGACGCAATGGTCATACATAAAAGTAAAGGTCAGACATACAGTATATTCAACATAAGTGAAGAGTGCAGCGTATCTCTTCATTTGCTGTTATGAAAGACAACATTTTGTATGATCTCCACATAGATTGGTTTGCTATTCACAGCAAACTGAATCAAACTTATATCGTGTAGTCTCTGATAAAACAAAAACAAAAAAAAAACAGTTTAGATCATCATGAACTTCCAGAAGCTGGTTGACCAAGTCTTGCAAGTTTAGCCTGGACAGACCCATTTTTAGTAGGGGTAGACTCTTGTTTGATTTGATTGAGTGAATTTAGGTATAATCACTCTCTTGCTCTTTTCACTTGCTGTCATAGTTTGTAAAGGACGCAAATAGCCTACAAACCAGGGGTGTCCAATCCTGTTCCTGGAGGTCCAACGTCCTGGAGAGTTCAGCACCAATCTGCCCAACCTGCCCCTAACTGGAAGTTTCTAGAAATCCTACATACCTTAATTAGCTGGTTCAGGGTGTTAATTAGGATTGGAGCTGAGCTCTCCAGGAGTAGGATTGGATGCCCCAGCATAAATGGATTAAAACCTGCCTTATTTGCACTCAAACACTTAAAAATGCACCATTGTGAATTTGAGCAGAATGTTGTTCAGTACCTGCTGAAGAGTCACAAAGACTGTTGTTAGACCTTGGCCCAGAATACTGTTTCCAGAGGGAACGCCACAGTAAGGGCATGTGGATCTCCAGAGAGTAGCTAGCTTTTTTGCTGCCTTCATGGTCACATACTGTTGCGTGGCATTCAGAATCTCACCTATTTTTGGAGTGTCACAAGGGATTTGAGGAAAGGTAGAACCTGGGGATTTGAGAGATGAGGATAGTGCCTCTGATCTTCTGTCATATTCCCAAATGTTTGAAACATACATTTGTGTGTGTGTTCTTGTTTTGTTGTGATGCTATATCACAGGTGTTTTGTTAAATTATCTGTGATGCAGTGGCAAACACCCATGACTGTGACTCATGTTGACTTAAAGCCCTCTGATGGGGACAGGTTCAAACCTGGTTTGCACCATTTCCCTGTTCCTGTTCCATTCATCCATTTTTTTTCTGTGAATACTTTGATGTTGCTTTCCTATAAACAAGGCACAAATCTATATATAAATTAAAAATAAAACCTTGCAAGTGTTGAATTGAACTAGATTCTTTTTTAGGAGAATCAAGGAGGAAAATCCCAAACATCATATACACAAACTCTCAGAATTGCTTGTTTTCTTGATGTTGTATTTGAGGTTGTGTCAAAATATTTTTGTTTATATTTACTCCTTAAAAACAGTAATGCGAATGGTTTTCCTTTTGATGTAGGATATCTTTTGGCATCCAGTATTTGGGATAGAAGTTATTGGGATCAAGCAGGCAGTCAGGGGAGTTTCCGTTTAGTCTGACACACACCTCAAATCTAATTAAACTGCAATTTTAATTAACCTCCCAAAGTGCTCAGACACGTAGACGAGGAACAATTTCATTGACAAGCCGTTCCCTGTATGTCTCTTCCCCCCGTCCCATTCATTATGAATAAAGTGCTAATGAACTACTTTTGGAAAATTAATGCACTCATCTATTTAAAGAAGTTGTTTTTCGTTTCATGTTTTCGCTGATAAGAGGTGGGCTCACGTCTGTCTAAAGGGGACTTGTCTTGGCTTTATTTGCCAACAGAGGTGTGGAACTCTTTTCCTTAGTGATATCGCTCTCTACTTCTGCCCGTCTGGGTCAGCGCTCCTTTGGCTTGAAATGAGAGAAGACAAACAAATAACACACGTATCCAGGGAGCAGCCTGGCCCGGGTGAAATGATTTCATTTTCATCTTGATCTCTATCTTATCTGCCTCCTTTGTTCCCCTCACCTTTAGTGCTGCGTAGATCAAAGAATCTAGTTTTCTCTCCCCCCGAACACGCCGAGAGAAGGGTGTGGGTGTGGATTAGGCCCGGCTGGGGGTCCGTCCTCTTGCATTGGGGCTCTGGCTTTGGTGTAAATGAAGTTTGGCGCCCCTGGGACATCGGTCCCCCTCCTGCTGTCGTTAACAAACAAGATATGCCCTCTACGAAGTGTCTTTCCTGGTCTGTGCCAACCTCATCAGTCTCCCGCTATGCTGGTTGCCCATTGCGAAGGAGTTGGAGCCTCCTGATGGGACGTTGAGGTGTGAATAGCCTGATGTTTGGAACTGGCTGGAATGGACTTGCCTCTGCTTGCCTGTTGCACTAGCAGCCCTAAGGAGTTTGGTAATAGGGATGCGCTAGGGGGTCCCGGACAGATGCACTCAGTTTTACAGTACACACAGTTTAATGTTAACACTCTGGTCGGCAGTGTACTTTCAAAATGGAAGAGTCTTTTAATTTATTTGCCAACCACTGATTTCACAAACTTGTTTAACATTTAGTGTAATTAAGGTGTTATTTGATTAATCGGGTAGTCGGTTTTCACGTTACGAATGACACTTTTTGAGAACAATGCTTCAAAGGTCTTTGTGACATGGTCTGGTGTTTAGATTGTTTAGATCCTATCGACTGCGTCTGTGGCATTTATAGTTTGGACAAAAAAACAAAATCATCTTTGGTAACACTTTAGTTACACACGTTACATGTACTTACAAATAACAGTAAATTCTGCATAATTACAAGTAACTAATCCTTAACCAAACCCTAATCCTTACTTTAACCATAAAGCATGTAGTAAATTAGTATTACACAGTAACAATGCCACCTCAAGTGTAACCTCATCTTTATAGTAATGCAGATGGATCAAGGCATTCCAGAGGGTTTGAAGCAATAAGAAGCTTGTTTTGTTAAAGCACTTGTTATTTTTTCCCCATGCAAATTAAAATGATCTAAATCATGTTGTTAGTGGTGAGACTAAAGTGAAATATTGGATATAACTGCATTATTTCCATTGTGGGAGAAAAAAGCAACTGACCACATGCTAATCAATATTTGTGTCAATGATGTGACATTATTTTTGTCTTAATTTTTTCTTGTCAAAAATACAACAAACATAAATTCATACATATGGTAATTTGAATATCTTCTATGATTGACATTATTTTTAATGTATTTTGTATTATATTAAAGATATTCATGAATTGGTAATGCATGATTGTAAAACTCTTGATTTGTAAAAATGTATTTTATCTTGAAAAATACATTTTAAAACTGTTAAACGATATGTTATTACTTTTTATTTGACGGTTAAACCCCTACATTTTGAGTCATTAAATTGAAACTTTTATTGAAAATGGTATAAAAGTTTTTCAAAACCATATAAAACAAACATAAATTCAAAGCTTAAAACTATTATGTATTTTAAACTAGATTTTCCCTTTTGTTTATCATGGACACTCTTATATTTCATTGACCCTTACACGAGTTTGTTTATAGAACTGCAGTTTAAAAGTCAACACTCTCAAAAGAACCACGCTGTTGTACTGAAATTGTAATGTACAGTGTCCTACAGCAGTGCTGATATTCAGTAGAGCGTGTGATATCGCTTGATTCAAACTTTTTACATTTTGACATTGTGCATTTAGAAGAGTTCAGATTTGGCTGCACTGTTGGAAGACACTTTAAACAGAACTGATTTTGACTAAATATCAATTTCCCTTTGCCCGCTGACATCAAGTGTGCCTCCTGCTGTGTCGCGACGTGTGTCCGCATACGTGAGGAAGAGGACCTGAGGTAATGGAATGCCCATGTGTCGCTCCAGCGGCCCACAGCCCAGCCAGGATCCACAGCGGGCTCTTCTGCGGCAGGTTGCTCCTCGGCTCGTAGCGGTGTGAGCTTGTTTATGTGTGTGTGAGAGAAGTGCGGAGGAGCAGTGAAAACAAGCCTCTCCCCAGGCTAGTGTTATTCCAACCTCCTGCCTTCCTCAATCCACTTTTGAAGGCAGGAAATCGGAGTTAGCTCACGGTTTGAGGGCCATGTGGTAATGGTTTAGACTGTAGAGACCCATGACCTGCACCTCCACCCTCGCTCGCTCACTCGTACACGCACACACACCGATACCTTGTCCCTCAAAGTCTTCTTTTCTCATATAGAGGCCGATACAATGGAGTGTATGTTGGACTTTTGTTTCGCTTGATAACGCAAACCAGATGGGAGTCAGGACAGGGGAGTCTTGTTAAATATTTGCTAAGAAAAATAACCCTGGGACACAGTCTAATTATATCTATTTGTCTTGTGTGGCTTTTTGGGAAGGCGATGTGGTTATGCAGGCCATATTGGGCTTCATTTTTCAAATGTGGGATCCAGTACAAAGCATCGGAGATGGATGGGACACTCTGTGTGTTGAGGCAGTACAGACAGTTTGATCTGGTTTTTCCTGAGACCCATCTCTGTATTATAAGCATATTTCATCATTTTGGGGAGGATATTCCAGTACCAGTCTCATTCATTGCTTCACTGTTGGCATGAGTTGTATATACCATTTTACATACCTGTTCTGTGTGTAGAAATCAACCAGGGGTGCAGAACCACTAAAGATTAAACAACATTAAACTGACACATTTTTTTTAAGAAGGCATTTGAATATTGTCTTGTACTAAGAGTGGCCTTGGAGTCAAACAGATTGAGCACATATTTAATTTCGACTGTAGACACGTCCTGCTTGTAAAGGTGTTAATCTCCTTGTTGTGCGCTTGCGTCACTCTGTCTTTCAGAGCCGGCACATGATGTGTATTTAAACCTACAGAAAATTAATTTAGGCGTTGGGCTTGGACAGACAGATGAAGACTGTGGCTCAAGCATACAAAAACCTGCTACACATTTAAGCATACTAGGTGTACACCAAAAGGTTAGTTCTATCCAAAAATGGAAAGTTGTAATAATTTCCTCACCCTCACATCATTCCAAACCTGTATGAATTTCTTCTGTGGAGCATGACACAACACAAGGGTATGTAAACGATGACAGGATTTACATTTTTGGATGAACTATTCTTTTAAATGCAAATAATTTGTGGTATCCAGTTGCGTCTTATGTTAGCGTCTCTATGTGTGGACACTAGCTCCCTCTTTTGCTGCTTTGATTTGCACAGTGGGTTTTGATCCGGAGGTTCAGTAGCTGGTCGTCTCATTGTGGACATGATCCACTGCAGTGACATTTCAATTGATCTCCATGAAAGGCCCGAGGATGGCGACTGAAGTGCTTCCAGATAAACCTGGGCAGTGTTGAGCAGAGGCCTGGAGCTCTCATAAAGCAGACCTAGGGCAAAGGCATAGTAATGCTCGCTGCTGCATGGCAGTGCCCTCCCTCTGGGTCCATTTCACCAGGACATTTTGTTCTTCTTAAGTGCTGCCAGTCCGTTTGTGTAGGCCCTCTGGAGGGGCATAGCCTGTGTCAGGGTTTGGGAATCTGGACGTAGCTGAGTTTTCACATTGCTAATAGGCCAGGATTTCTGTTGTTCTCTTCAAAAAGTTGTCCGTTAGAAGGAAGGTAGGTTAAATGGATGAATTTTGAGTTTTTATATTGTACTTTTTTGGAATAGTTAATCCAAAAATGACAATTCTGTCATAATTTTCTTTATTCCAAAGCTGTATGACTTGCTTTCTTCAGTGAAACGCAAATTAGATGTTTTGCAGATTGTCTATTTTTGTGTGAACTTTCTGTTTAAGGGTTTAGGTGTACGGAAGTGTACTTGTTTGTTTTTCTCAGCACATCAATGCACTACAACAGTCTCTGTCTGTGTCCACACTCAGTCACTGCATTCTGTGTCAACCCAATTGTTGCATGACTTATTGTAAGAATAAAATTAGAGCCTTTTGACTGTGGAAACATTGAACTGATGCCTACTTTTGAGGTTCTTGTGGCCAGTTGAAGGCCATCAAAAGTTGAAAAGAAAAGATTTTTGATGCTCATAGTAATGATGGTGGTGATGGCCACAATGATGTCACCATTGTTAAAACCTGGTTACCCAACATAGCTAGTTCTCTCTGAAAAAAGTATTAGAATAAATATTCTTCTCTTTATTGATACACAAAGTGTGATTAATTTTAAACATGTCTATTGCAGAATGGAGAATTTGGAGAGAAAAAGAGCTTGCCCAAGCCTTTGATGCTTCTCATGCTCTTTCAGCTGTGTGAAAAAAAAAAAATACATTTGCCCAGCCTCTCTCTTTTTTGTCTCCCTCTCATTCTTTTAGGACTCAGAGAGAAAGGGTTTCATGAACAAGCTGTATGCCATTCAGGATGTGTGCATCAGTGTACAGAATGCTCTAGATGAAGTGGCCTCCTATGGTGAGAGGATAAAGAAGTAAGTCTCAGCTCTCGCTGCTTGTGCCTGAGCAGACACGTGGGCACCACCGTGCCAACTTGTGTCACATCGCACTCAAACAAACACACACACTTGCTTACACTGCAAAAATCATATTCCTAATTAGTCTTTTTTTTTATTCTTGTTTTCCAAACATCCTTGTGTAAGCATCCTTAACATAAGACACATTTACCTAAAAGGGTAACGACCAAGTTTGGGGTCAGTAAGATTTTCGTTTTTCAGCAAGAACGCATTAAATTGACAAAAGTGATAGTAAAAACATTTATAATGTAATATAGTAGTAACTTAGTATATAGTAGTGATTTCAAACAAATACTGATTTTTTTTTTTTTACTTTCTACACATCACAGAATCCTAGTTTCCACAAAAATATTAAGCAGCACAACTGATTTCAATAATAATAATAATAAAATCTTGCATTACAATGATTTCTTAAGGATCATGTGACACTGAAGACTGGTATAATGACTGGTGGGAATTCAGCATTGCCATCACAGAAATAAATTACATTTTAAAATGTATTAAAATAGAACATTTTATTTTAATTAATAATATTTCACAATATTATACTTGTTTTACTGTATTTTTGTATCAGCCGCAATGAGACTATTTTCAAAGACATTTTAAGAAATCTTAGCGACCTCAATCGTTTGGAATGGTAATGCATCTTGAATTTAGTTGTTTTTTACCCTGTTAGCAACCTAAATGAAGATCTCACTAGAAAATGTGCAAAATCAGACAAAAGTATTGATGAAGATATTTACCTGGTACACCAAATTACTCCAAAAAAAAAAGAAAGAAAAAGTATTATCATTGTACTGACATGGTACAGCACATGTCACTTTATTTTACAGTACGTGTACTTACAAGAAAGGTAACTACGTGTGTTAAGGTTAGGTTTGAGTGTAGGTTCAGGGTTAGTACCTAGTTATTACCCACTTATTGTAATTACTATAAGTACATGGGGAACAGGACTGTAAAATAAAGTGCTTTCAAAAGTTTTACAGGTGTTTTTATAACTATGCTGTTTTGCAACTATAGTAACATTTTATAAGGCCCCACTCACATGAAAAAAGTGTAATGGTGTGTTTACACCAGGTGTGACCCATGTCGGGCTGCAACAGCTTGATAGTACAAATGGATTTGGAGCTTTCAGTTTGATGCATCCATTGTAGACACCGTTGTCGGAAGTAGTGCATTTGCATGAAGTATGTTAAAAATTGAATGGGGCATCAGTTTTTTGAAGTGCTGTCATGTTGTGTCGCATCCAGTATAGACACTATCACTGATTATAATGGGTTCTTTTTTATTTGGTTGCGTTGCACCGTACCCATCCAGTGTAGACACGGTGTAAGTCTGTGTAAAAGAAATAACATGACACTCACCCTTTTCTCTGTTCTCAGTACTTTCAACTGGACTGTGCCTTTCCTCAGCTGGCTGGCCATAGTGGCCCTGTGTGCGGCCACTCTCGTGGTGTACTACATTCCTATCAGATACATCGTTCTGGCCTGGGGTGAGCTGTCATCCATTACGCTTACAATCTTGCATGAATGACGAAATAACAAGACTGAGTAGCATGTTACATAAAGCGTGTTTTAGAATTGCAATTAGACTATTGCAGGAGGTCACAGGGTTTAGTGGCAGTTTAAGTTTTCATGCTCCAGGGACTCGGCACCAGAACAGCAGGGAGGACAGTAAACCGTAGAGCTCAGGGCAAACTCACTAGAAGCTAATGCCCCGTGTGCTCTTTCATGCAGTGTTCAGATGTGAGGCTCTACAAGGTCAGAGAGCAGAGCTTCTGTCAGCTTCATAGCAGCTTATTCTTTAAAGTAAAAAGACAAGGGTTTAGAATCTGTACAGGATCTTATAAGGTCCATCTGAACTGCACTCTGTGAGGGCTGATCACCACTGTTGTTTCAACTTTCAGGGGTCAACAAGTTCACCAAAAAACTGCGAGACCCGTACAGCATCGACAACAATGAGCTGTTGGACTTCCTGTCCCGAGTGCCCTCAGACGTTCAAGTGGTAGGTTATTCCTTCCGACATTCACCCTGACTTTCTGATGGTTACCCAAAAATTGTAACACCTGTATGGAGATTTTTGCCAATTCCAAAATTGTCACGTCTCACACGTCTCTACAATACCCATGATTTGAGGGTTCATTTATGTATGCAGCACATACAGTGCAGGAGGAGTTATACACTGAAGTTTAAAACTTTCTATTTCTATTGGTTTGTTTTAATCCCCAACCCTAAGAACGAGCAACCGTAATAGTGATGCTAGCCTTAGCAAACATAATAAAATAATAACAATGAACTCAAATGGTTCTGCTGTGGGAGAATGTATTTGTGCAGAGTTTTCTGGCTCCCTTTAATTTATGCTTTCCGCTCATGGTAATATGCATAAATGCAGAATCAGGGAATTCTATTCTTGTCATCACAGACAGCCTTGTGACTCATTACCATGGAAAGAGTGCAAGATGTTGACTTTTTAAACAAACTTCACCTAAACTTTTATACCTATAATGGCACTTTATTCTGTGGAAATATATATAAAGCGTATTAATTTTTGATTGATTTTACGCTTTGTTAATTTGATATTTCTTCAGCTATAAGTATGGTTATGTACCAGGGCTTGATTTAACAGATGTCAAATCACTACTTTTTTGAAGGTCACGCTAAAACTTAAACTTCTTATCATGTCTGCATCATTTTCTTTGTGCTAGCTATTGTATATCTTAAAGTATGAAAATCCATCATAGAATATTAATTATTACACTTAAAAAACTAAGATAATATAAAACACTGATCTGATCATTGTTTATTGATTTAAAATGTATTTGCTTTTTAAAATTTAACATTTAAAGTGTATTCACAATCTCTCAGATGCTGCGCCATTTCCATCATGACCAACAATTTGGCCGCAATAATTACTAAGTTAGTGTATGTGATTACCAAGGAGATAGATTGATATGAAATATGTGAATACATTTTTTTTATTATTATTGTGTATCATTTCCAGTCAAATTATGCAAAAAGTAGTTAGTAATTAGGATGTATAAAGTGGTAGCTATTAAAAAATATATTTTATTCAGATATGTGAGATGATGTGGTAGAAATGGCAGAATGCAATTTTGAAAAAACAGTATAATATACAGTATACAATATATATATATATATATATACTGTATATACACAGTATAATCACATTGTTAACAAAAAAGTAAACAAATATTATTATTTTATATTAACATATCTGTTTACTAGTGTTATTGAAGTCCACAAATCTACCTTTTGGATCTTACATCCTGTGGATTTATATATCCATATATCTGTAGTTGAAGAAACACCCAATTATATTCTTATCCCTGTCAGCCTTCGTGAGGAATGTGTTCCATAAATTTCATTTGGTTAAGTTGAATGTAAATGACTTGTGATGTTTTCAGTCTGCACGTGTCTCTCGGTAGATTTATAGACTTCTTGCTGTGTTGTACTGAGTCATGCTTTGTTATTGAGTGTAATGAGTGTAAAGCAGTAATCCTCTCCCGGTCTGCTTCTACATTAACCGTGAGATCTGAGTTATGCGGCCCGCCCCATTGTCCCGTTCTTAATCAACAGCGTTCTGTTTGAGCAGCGAGGTGCTGGCGTTTAACTGCAATTAAAACCTGAGCTCGTAAACACAAGCCCGGCCTGTTATCGTGCTTCCTCTGTGTCGGGATAAACCCTGCGGTGCTGACGGCGGGGGTGACACAGGGCTCTGATCCAGGACCAATCGCTTGCCACATCAGCACAGACACGCTCGCCTTTGATGAGCCCGGGGCGGCGGGCAGCCTTTGATCTCTATAGAGTCGTAATCCCTAGCCCCTGCTTGGCTTTGCATCGGCCCTGCAGCTGCAGGTAGCCTGCTCTAAATTAGCACGATGTGGCTAGGTCGCTAAGGTGCGTTTACCCCAAACACCTGGAGCCCAGAAGGTCCCTGCAGGTAGGAGGCCCAGAGGAGACCTGGCTAATGATGTACGGTGAGGTTCACGCTCAGAAGAGCATGCCGCCGTGGGCTTTCTGTGCCCTGTTATAGCTTTTGATTTAGGACAGTCCAAAAAAGTACTTGAACATCAGCATGATGCGCGGAACGTTCCGCTCTGCATCGCACAACTGCCCGTGGAGGTCCGTTCACCTCTGTTTTCTGGGTTAGAGACAATGGGCGGGGCAGAGGCTGCGCTTCTGTGGGACCTCGGAGACTAAAACAAAGCGCCCCTGCATCGGGGTGTGATCTGCACATGCCCTGGGGCCCGAACATTCTGCACAAGTGACAAATGGAGGGCTATTTTTGAGGTTCTGATGCGACCCGCGCCTCCCGCACCGTCCCGTGATGAAAGCTCTGCAAGGCCGAGAGAGAGGCCAGCATTGCTTCTTTTACAGATCATTTGGAGGTGCCTCAGAACAACATGAACTGATGAGCTCCTAATGACTTTTTATATAAAGGGCATCTATGCTGCAATCTGTGAGTACAGAGTGTCTTTGAATGGGAACTTACAACTCCCACAGCTCTGTGGGTGCATTTCTTTACTCACCTTGTTTGTGTTATTTTGAGTGCACTGCTCGTATAGACCTTATGCGCCAGAGAAATAAGCACGCAGCCATCTTTAGAATTTTGTGTTTGAACTTTAGTTTTTGCGGTAGCTCTGTATATTTCTATGGCATCACTGTCGAAGAGTAATTAGCTGGTGAAGTGGATTTACTTATTGTGGAGTTAACTAAAGTTATCATGAGCATTGCAATGTTTGAAGCAAGATGGCATAACAAATGTAAGTAGACCGGGAAGATTTTAAAATGAGCGGTTCATTCATAAATCCGTAAGACCTTGCCTTCATGTTGTGGAAATACAAACCGGAAGACAGAACACAATGGGCCCTATTTTAACAACCTAAGCGCATGGTCTAAAACGCACCTCGTTTTCAGACCCATGGGCGCACAAATAGGTGCAAATGCATTTGCTATTTAAACAACGTCGCGATAACTGTGAAAATGATAACTGTGTTTCTTTTCTTCCCAATGTGTATTAATGTTCTAGGTCCATATGATGTTTAAACAATTACTGGGTTAATGGAACACCATTTACCAACTTTTATCAATAAGCATCTAATACTATAATATTAACATATTCATATTAGTATACTATTTTTAAAGGTTATTTCTTGAATTTAAATGTTGTTACATTTAACACAAATAACAAAATTTACAAATAACACAAGTTATAAAAACATGAATACAGTAACAATAATGTTTTGTTTCTTTTATTTGTACTACTAGTTCTTGTTTGTATATTATTATTATTATTTTTATTATATTAATTGCAATTATTTTATTTTCCATCCATCCATTCTTCAAAACGCTTGTCCTATGTAGAGTCTCAGGGATGCTGGAGCGTATCCTAGAATCTCGGCTGGGAAACACCCCTGATGGAAGGACAGTCCATCATAGTTTATTTTATTATTCTATTTTATTTTATTTTATTTGATTTGATTTACCTCTATTTCTCCATTCACACTCACATCCACACTATACTTCAAAACAGTGAGCTCAAGACCTCCCTTTGAAACTTTATCAGCTGGTGTCGCTGTTGGACACTTCTACTAAATTAGTGGGTTCACACTTGTTGTAATATATTTTTGGACTGTTGATTACTTTCTCCTCCAGATTTTTTAGGAAGGCACTGCTGTCCATTTCTCCTTTTGGAAAATGCCCTTAAAATGGATACATTCATTAAATTACTTTATTGATTGCCCATGTTGAAGGTGTTGTGAAGATCAGGCAGGTTAAGTGTACACTATACACAAGTGCTGTGGTTATTCTAAGGTTTGTTGTAAATCTTAATACATACCACCTCTGTGCACTGAGCCCATGGCCTTTTTAGTGCACTGCAGGAGACCTATGATATATCAAACCTGCTGTGAGGTGTGTATTCACTTTGAATTACTCTCCCAGTTTACACACTCTATGTTCTTTTCATGTACCCGCCATATCTTTACCTGCTGTGTGTCTGCCTCACTGCTTTAAATAAAGCAAATTCTGATATAATGCTATACTTTCTCCCTTAAATGAGGCCAACTGGCATTACCAACTTAACATTCTCTACCAGGTGTCTAAAACGTGTCCTGTCGCATGCTTTATGGTGCCATTAGCCAATGGAGGAACTGCGTGCGTAACTGGGACGCTAGCAATTAGCACGCCAAGGGCTCCATTATGGCCTATGCAAATGCTGAGATTAAAATGCAGCCGCAACCGCAACCGTAGCCGTACAATTCAGCTCTTAGCCAATTCATCACCTGCGAAGGGCACGCACTTGAGGAGAGAAGAAAAGAGGGCAAACAATAGCAAAATTTGTCTGTTTTCTGAGGACATGGCTATCATTTATGGACACTTTATGAGATAGCTTGCAGCAGGCATGTATGTATCCCCTATTGCTAAGCTAATGATTGCAACTTGTTTGTGTGTTTAATGAGTGGCAATCCAGTGCTAGAATTTATTGTATTCTTCATTTTTGTTCTTGCACCCCAATCTATAGCTCCTCCTCCATCGGTCTCTCTCTCTCTCTCTATATATATATATATATATATACATATATATTATATATATATATTAGGGCTGTCAGTTAAACGCGTTATTAACGGCGTTAACGCAAACCCATTTTAACGGCTTTAATTTTTTTTATCGCGCGATTAACGGTCTTTTTGGCCTAGCAAACTTTATAGTTTTTTTTTTCACATGCTTTTGCAACAGGACGGCATGCGCGAGGACTAGGGATGTGAATTTCTGCCAAAAATGACATTCGAAAATCGAGGAGCAAAAGTCGATTATCGTTCGAAAATCGAAAAAAAAAAACGCACACTCACAATGACAGAAAAGGAGGCCAATTTCATCTTTATCGATTTGTCATCAAACAAACTGTTTATTATTCGAACAATTAACATGTTTTCGTCGTTTTTTTTTTAACATACCGGTAGTTAACATAGAGGAAAAAAATAA